TGAGAGTCAGCCCCTTCAGGAGCTGTATCCCAGTGAGAGCCAGCACCATCAGGAACTGTATCCCAGTGAGGGTCAGGACCTTCAGGAGCTGTATCCCAGTGAGAGTCAGCACCTTCAGGAGCTGTATCCCAGTGAGAGTCAGCACCTTCAGGAACTGTATCCTAGTGAGGGTCAACACCTTCAGGAACTGTATCCCAGTAGGAGTCAGCACCTTCAGGATCTGTATCCCAGTAGGAGTCAGCACCTTCAGGGACTGTATCCCAGTGAGAGTCAGCACCTTCAGGAACTGTATCCCAGTGAGAGTCAGCACCTTCAGGAGCTGTATCCCAGTGAGAGTCACCCCCTTCAGGGACTGTATCCCAGCGAGAGTCAGCACCTTCAGGAACTGTATCCCAGTGAGAATCAGCACCTTGAGGAACTGTATCCCAGTGAGAGTCAGCACCTTCTGGAACTGTATCCCAGTGAGAGTCAACATCTTCAGGAACTGTATCCCAGTGCATGTCAGCACCTTCAGGAACTGTATCCCAGTGAGGGTCAGCACCTGCAGGAGCTGTATCCCAGTGCGTGTCAGCACCTTCAGGAACTGTATCCCAGTGAGGGTCAGGACCTTCAGGAACTGTATCCCAGTGAGAGTCAGCACCTTCAGGAGCTGTATCCAAGTGAGATTCAGCACCTTCAGGAGCTGTATCCCAGTGAGAGTCAGCACCTTCAGGAGCTGTATCCCAGTGAGGGTCAGCACCTTCAGGAGCTGTATCCCAGTGAGAGTCAGCACCTTCTGGAACTGTATCCCAGTGAGAGTCAGCACCTTCAGGAACTGTATCCCAGTGAGGGTCAGCACCTTCAGGAGCTGTATCCCAGTGAGGGTCAGCCCCATCAGGAACTGTATCCCAGTGAGAGCCAGCACCTTCAGGAACTGTATCCCAGTGAGAGTCAGGACCTTCAGGGGAATGGTGGAAAACTATGGAGCAATTTTGCTAGCTTGTCTCTGAGGAATAACATGCAATCAGCTGTTCCAGGGCTGTCTGATGTAGAAGATTACATCGTCCCTGTCATGTTATCATCTCCAGGGCAACATGCTCTCAGCCCCAAACAACCTCACACTCACCATGCCGGAGGTCTCACATCTGCCTGGTTTGGGGACCGTACCCTCTGCTGCTGCAGTGTCCTCCTTTGCCCTCTCCGGTGGCTTGCTGAGTGTCTCAGAGTCTGTGCTGGACCTGCTCGACTCTGGGCTATCAAAGATTGGCGACAGAAGCTTGCAGAGCGCGGGGCTGCAGAATTCCTCCGGGGCTAGGGTTGCCTGGTGATTCTCCGGGAGCCTTCTGGTGAAGTGAAACGCTTTCGCATCTGTCGGACCTGTATGTACAAATGGGAGGGTGAGCAATGGGACACAAAGCCGTGAGGCAGGGTTGTGTGGGAAGGTTTGGGGGTTCAAGTCCCACTCTAGCATCCTGCACACAAAATTCATCCTCAGTGTGAGTCCTGAAATGCCGCACTGTCGGAGTTGCCATCTTTTAAACTAGCCAATGAGGTGTCACGCACCCTTTGGTGGTGGAGCCAATGTGAAAGGAGCAGAGAGTTACATGCCAAGGCCAAAGTGATCCATTTGTTGTCTGTGGGATCTTGTGTGTAAATCGGGCCGTTCACAGTCTCTGCACTATGACAGTGACTACACTTCAAAACTGACCTTACTGCTTGACAATGCTTTTAGGCGATGCTGAAACTGTCAATAAACTTACACTCGCAAGCTGTACATTAACTGGGTCCTTCCAGCTTGCTGCATCATTTAGCGGAATCCCTACAGTGTGGAAGCAGTCCCTTCAATCCACACCAAGCATCTGAAGTACATCCCACCCAGACCCATCGCCACCTCCCACCCTACCCCTGCATTTCCCTATGGCTAATCCATGCTAACCTACACACCCCTGGACACTACGGGGCAATTTAGCACGGCCAATCCACCCCAACCTACACACCCCTGGGCACTACGGGGCAATTTAGCACGGCCAATCCACCCCAACCTGCACACCCCTGGGCACTACGGGGCAATTTAGCACGGCCAATCCACCCCAACCCGCACACCCCTGGGCACTACGGGGCAATTTAGCACGGCCAATCCACCCTAAACCGCACACCCCTGGACACTACGGGGCAATTTAGCACGGCCAATCCACCCTAACCCGCACACCCCTGGACACTACGGGGCAATTTAGCACGGCCAATCCACCCTAACCCGCACACC